ATCCTACAGTATCTTTACAGTCTTTATTTTACAGTTAAAATAAATGTTTATCAAATAAAGTTTAATGTTACAACTAATCGTGGATCCCTTTAAGGAGAGACTTTTAGGAGGCTAAAGGCTGCAAGCAATAAGCTGAGACTATTTTAAAATGTACTCATTTTGAGTTTTTTTAGAAAACAATACAATTGTAACAGTGGGGTCATTGTTAGAAACATGGCAGATGATGATTATAATACCAAATAAGTCTGTCATATACTGTCTGTCATCTTATAACACAAAGGTAAGTTTTTAGAAAAATCTATTTTCCCCCAAAATTTATTCTGATATAAGTTACTTGTTTAGACAATGAAAATAGATTTATATAAAAATGGGCACAAAAAATTGTTTAGTTTTTCATATTTTTAAACAAGGCAGCGCAAAATATCAATGCAATCTTTTTAATGTAAGCACCAAAGAATTGTGTCTAGTATCTGACCAAATGTGAAATATATTTCAAACCTCTTTATTTCCTTAGTAAAGGTGCTAAAATGTTTGATGGTGATTGTGAGCGCAAAAATGAAATATGGCCTAAGCGGCCTCTCATAAAAATGAGAACTTTTTTAACATTGTGATCCTTATCGACTTTTAGATTACATTTTTTCTCATTTATGTTTAGTCTGTCATAAAAGAAATAAGTTTTTGAGCTTCTGAAAAATCACGTCTGTTTTAACCTTTGACATACTGTATCAACCACATTACAAATATTTTGAAACTCTATTCTGGCTTTTGGTTTTAGTGTCACCCCTGGATTTTCAACGAGCTTCACTGTAACTTCTTCCACAATCAACATCACAAAATGCTAACATATCCAGAGATCATTCACATTCAAACAGGAACTCGTTGAAACGTCTCAGTTCCACCACAGAGACTCAAACATGTAAGTGTATCATCACTCACCTGCTGTTAAACATTATTTGAACAGCTGCATGTCAGATGATCACAAAAAATAGTATCTTGAAACAAAAACTACTTCCTGGTTGGGAATGCAGCCCAAAATGTCATTGCACATACACTCAGCTCTGGGTCTGGTTTATAGATCTTTACTGCATCCCTTCCCCTCTGGTTCTGCTGCCCCAAACTCTGGTTAATAAAGGCAACAGCTATTAAAAAATGAAACAAACCAAAAAAGCAAATGAATGTAAAGATCATGTCTTAATGATCCATCCATCCATCCATCCATCCATTTTCTTCCGCCTATCCGGGGTCGGGTCGCGGGGGCAGCAGCTTCAGAAGGGAGGCCCAGACCTCCCTCTCCCCAGCCACTTCTTCCAGCTCCTCCAGGGGAACCCCAAGGCATTCTCAGGCCAGCCGAGAGACATAGTCCCTCCAGCGTGTCCTGGGTCTTCCTCGGGGCCTTTTCCCAGTGGGACGTGCCCGGAATACCTCACCAGGGAGGCGTCCAGGAGGCATCCTTACCAGATGCCCGAGCCACCTCAACTGGCTCCTCTTGACGTGGAGGAGCAGCGGCTCTACTCTGAGTCCCTCCCGGATGACCGAGCTTCTCACCCTATCTCTAAGGGAGAGCCCAGCCACCCTGCGGAGGAAACCCATTTCGGCCGCTTGTATCCGGGACCTCGTTCTTTCGGTCATGACCCAAAGCTCATGACCATAGATGAGGGTAGGAACGTAGATCGACCGGTAAATCGAGAGCTTCGCTTTCTGACTCAGCTCTCTCTTCACCACGACGGACCGGTACAGCGCCCGCTGCGCCAATCCGCCTGTCGACCTCCCACTCCGTTCTTCCCCCATTCGTGAACAAGATCCCCAGATACTTAAACTCCTCCACTTGAGACAGGGCGACCCCCCTGACCCAGAGAAGGCACTCTGCCCTTTTCCAGCTCAAGACCATGGCCTCGGATTTGGAGGCACTGAGCCTCATCCCGGCCGCTTCACACTCGGCCGCGAACCGCTCCAGCGAGAGCTGCAGATCTTGTTCCGATGAAGCCAACAGGACCACATCATCCGCAAAAAGCAGAGATGCGATCCTAAGACCACCAAAACAGATCCCCTCAGCACCTCGGCTGCGCCTAGAAATTCTGTCCATGAAAGTAATGAACAGAATCGGTGACAAAGGGCAGCCTTGGCGGAGTCCAACTCTCACCGGAAACGAGCCCGACTTACTGCCGGCAATGCGAACCAGACTCTGACACCGGTCGTACAAGGACCTGACAGCCCGTATCATTAAGACCGTATGTCTTAATGATAAATTACACAAAAATCTGCTGTGAAACGTTTCTTGGGAGAAGCTTTTCAGTGTAATATAGTCTGACTGGAGATTTTGTAGTAAACAGCTGAAATTTCATGGCTGTCAGAGCTACCAATAAAACATCCTGAATGAGGCTGCTGTTCTCTTTAACTTTAGCCGGACATTAAAAACGTCTAATAACATGATTAAAACAGACGGGCTTCCCCTTCATTTTACAGAAATAGCTTAATTCTGAGCAGACTGACGAGCTGGCACCTAGTCAGGAAGTAACCAAGACCAAAAAATAACTTTATTAGCTGTTTACACAAATATTTTATTAAACCTTCATACTACCCTAACTTTCACACAGTTAATTACATTCAATTCTATGGTTAGCTGCTAAAGCATGTAGCAGTAGCAGCTAGCTGTAGAACCTTTGGTGCAACCTGGGGTCACTTCTGATGGGAATTTTATTAGTGTTTTAGCAAAATTAACTAAGTAATATGAAAGTGACAGAAGTGGAAATATTAGAATAATGAAATGCTGGTTCATCCACAAAGGATAACATTTTGGAGACAGCCCATTTCAAGATGGCTGCCGAAGCTAATCAATCTTAGAAAACAAGAAAATACAACTCCGTCTTTCAGAAACTGAGCTATCTGAAAGTGCTAATAAATCAAATTTACTTCAAACTTTGAACATGCAACACTGTGGGCATTTTGCCAGAGAATGCCACCTTTCATTAGAATATAGTTATTGTTTATTTCTCCTTTCCTGGACCCTGTTTTTATTTGTAAGGTCACATTAATTTGTAGAAATGCAGAGATTGTCGGAAGTTCGTAGGAGAACCCACCCGAACAGCAAAGTTACATTTGCCCTTGCGTACAGCCTCCTCGTCAGCCTGCCACTGATGCGGTCTGCTGGCCTCGGGCACATAGGTGGGCTTCTTCCTCCTCAGACTCTGACGAAGCTTGTTCATCTCCGGGGTCACGTGCTCCCTGGAACTGCACACAGAGAAAACAATGCTGGTTTAACTCGGGGCACAAAGCCTGAACAGCAGCAGTATGTATTAGATCACCAAGAATAAAGCAAAATATGGTCTATTTTAAACATTGAACCCATTAAAGACTAAGTAAATAAAACATCAGCAATATATAAAGTCCTAGCACGTAAATATTGTCGTTTCGTACAGAAAGATGAGCGTGAAGTGGATTTTATTGATTAGCTGGAGCTCATTTTGCAGTCATCCTTTCTAACAAGACAGTCAGTAAATCAGTCTGTCCGCATGATGCTCCATTGATTCTGCTCTCAGCTACAGGCTGCACAAATCCCACAGGTGACACACACACCGGGCTCACTTTCATCTCTGCACAACACATCAACAGAGCTGATCAGGAGTCAGGACACACACACACACACACACACACACACACACACACACACAC